CAAGTTTAACTTTAGATGAGTTGGATGATCTCTGGGAGGTCCCTGGCATATTAGTAGCTCTAAAACCTTAATTGAAGGGTTCAGGAACTTGAACTTTTAACAAACATTATTTATATAAAATGTTAATTAGTCATTTGAGTTCAACAAGCGTTCATAAAAGTGGGAAAAAGAAACCCTGTTGGCCGTTTAAGCAAACTAACTCAAATTTCTTCCTTCTCAATTGTTTAGTTTTCATAATTGTGAGATGTTGCTAGTTCTACAGCTCAGAGGCTTCCAGCTTAAACAAGACTTGAACTATGAATGTAAAAACAATGACAAAAAAACCTCTTCCTAGGTTTTCAGTCTTTCTGCATCTAAAAAAGGTACAAATCTTTTTTTTCCCCAAGGTCATTTGTAATATTGAATTATGTCAAAAATACAACTGAATAAGGGGAAAAGTTATAATGAAATGCCCCCACTACTTGCTCATGCTTGGCTTCTTCGTTATGATTAGGAGAAAAATATCCATGTTTTATCTTTCAATGTGTAGCAAAACAGACTCACATTTGTCACAATCCAAAATATTATACCCTGAAAACATTGACACGTCCTCTATTCCATGATGTGCCAAATTGTTCTGCGTTTTGTTTGGTCTGGATACGATATGTCATTTTTGCAGCATTGTATCAAAGTTCAGAATGTCAACAACTTAAAACAGAAAGACATGGATCATGACTGTCCATAGTGTTTGAATTGCTCCAAAGAATGCGAGCTCCATATTTTCCAGTTCCAGCCTCCAGATTATTTTCAGAGGTTTGGCTGTTTCCTTGTTAGAAGGGAAGTAGGAGCACAGGCTGTCAAAAGTTCTCTTCCGTCTAATGTGCATACCATACTTACTCAGTTACCCTATGGAATAAGTACTGTTACATAAATATACTTTGCTTTTGTTTATTTCATTTTGCTTCCATACCAATTATATAATAAATAGTTTAGCAAAACTCAGAAGAATGCTTGGAGTTACCAGCATTCTGTAAAGCAAATAGCTAGACACTGGAGTTGATGCAAACAAGACACTTAACATCTGAAAGAAGTGTTAACACTTTATTTACATTTAAATTAAAATGGAAACTTATTTATGTGTTATGTTTCTGAAAGGTGTGTGGTACATCTGCAGAGATCTATTGTTTATTCATGCTCTAAATCCTTTGAAATGTGTTAAAATGCTTCCCACTCATTATAAAAATCCTGCCACCCATGGATTAGGACTTTGATGTCACCAATCCTGCTTCAAAGGGTTCTTTCAATGCTATTAATCACAGTTTAGCCTCTGAAGATATAGCCAGAGAAAACATTTGGACATCTTGTGCTAGACTTGCTAAAACTTTGAAATAGACGGAGTGTCTTGCACATGCACAGTCCGTATCACTTCCTCTCTTTTTTCTGAGCATTTATGTTGAAAAGCTGTTTTATAATGACTTTGTCTTTCTGCAAATAAAGGTGAAAATGCTTTAGGGTGCTTTATACTGTACTTTTAACAAAGTAATCATGTCATTTCATTGACTCCAAGCTAAAACAATGTGGTTTTGACCACGGAATCTTGTCAGTTTTTGAAAATCCTACAAGACAATAGCCTTTGGGATTAAGCAGACTGTGTGTCAAAAGGTCAAATAAGAGACTGTCTTATCAGTTTGTTAGTTTAAGCATGTTATCTAAGCACATGCCATTTCATATTAAATTGCTTTCTTCTGGGTTTTTTTTTCTTGAATCTTTGGGTGATTCACAAAGAAATTGATTACTAGTGATTGAGCTGTATTGCCTTTGTGCTCCTGTTGCTTTCATCAACTCAGTTGGCTAAGGCCAGTGACAGTCCACCTTATCACTGACATTTTCCCTCTTAAATCAACACTGTACCACGATACCTGTCTCCTGTTTCATTGCCAAATGCTCCATGGTGTGCAACCAGTGACAATCTGAGTTCAACGGAAGTGTGATGGTATCTGGTAGCATTCTTATTGCTGCTGCCCTGACTGCTTTCCCACCTTTGGATTTTCCCTGCACTGGGCTAAACTTTTTTAACTCTTCTTTCAATTTGTTTCCATCTCTTTAAACAGGTAATTTGGCACAGGCAAGAGCTAGAGTGACTGCAGCATCCAGGTCCTTGCCTCCACAGCTTAGTGCTGGGCGCCTCAAGGTTAGTGGTATCATCACCTTTGAAAAGGGGAAGGAAATAATTCAGACAATATGACAGTGAAACCACAGTCAAAACATTCAGCTGGTATAAACGTACAATGGAAATACTTTATATTAAACTGATCTAAGTTACGCAGTTTTCTGTAAGTGGCATAGGTTAGATTGGTAACTAACAGAACACACATCCCACCTTTGGTGTGGTGGAGGGGTGCAAATCTCAGACCAGGTTCTGCCATTTTTAAACCAGTCTCTGTATGCATAACTTCTGTTCTCTTATGGGCATAGATGGGTTTTGTGTGCTGAACTTCTGTTCTGGGTATAGACTGGTTTCCAATCACTTATACTGGTAAAAGGGTAATGTCTATACCTGGCCATGATGATACCTGGCCATGATACCTGGCAAAGATTAACAGATTTTGTTAGGAGAATTAATATATATGACAAGATTGCAAAGAACAGGGGTGAAATCTTGGCTCCGTTGAAGTTGCAGGCGACTGATTTGGGGGCTATAGGAGGGAGGGGGCACATGTCCACCCTGAGGTTGGCCCCCAAGTCAGCACCACTCAAGACAGGGCAGTTTTTTTGCTGCACAGGCCTGCAGCGTGTTGGGGGGGGACACTAACCTGTGGCACAGAAGTATAGGAATGGATATGGGGCTTTTGGCCTGGCCCCGGGCCTGCCCACATATTGTGCCCCGCCAGACTCAGGAGGCACCAGTCACCCCTGGTTGAAGTCCATGGCTAAATTTCCATTGACCTCAATGGAGTCAAGATATTACTCTCAAAGTTTGTACCCTGAAAATGAGATTTAAATGAAATTTGGTTGGAATATTTGACACTGTGAAGGCCAAAGTAGAAAACTGATCCATTCCTGTTTTATGTTGCCTATATGGGCCTTGTTACATGGTACTTTTTCGAGGCTCCTGGAGCTCTTAACACCTGGACTGTCCAAACATTAACACCTTAAAGTGGCTTAAAGCACTTGTTATGCAGGAAAAAATTACACCACTCCAGGACAGGATTATCTCTAATCTACACAACCCAGCTCCTATTCCATTAAGGTGTGGCTACTACCCACAGATGTGCCACTCAAGTTGAAGTCCTCCAGTATCCCAGAATGCAATGGCCTTTCCCTTACCCTTCTGTTTTGTGGGCTCTCACACCCCTAAAGGTTTAGTTGAGCGGCCCAGGGACTGGAGCTGCAGCTTTTCTATTTCCTCTGGCCTCAGGAATCGTGGCTCGGGGCACTATTCCCCCCCAGCACTGAGCCTGTCTCCAACATGTCCCACCCACCCTGCAACAAGAACAGCTTCAGCCTCCTCCTGCTAGCCCAGGGGAGCTAGGTACTAGCCCTCCCAGCCTCAGCCATAGAATCATAAAGAACTAGGGCTGGAAGAGACTTCCCTGCTTACCAGGCCTCTAGTGGCAAGTCTAGCTATGCAGATGGGGTACAATCAGAGAAGATTTCTAGACTAAAGGTGTGACTTTCCAAATTCCAAGCTAGCACTAATGATTGATATTTGCATGGCTCAAAGTAGAACATGTAACAAGGCCCTTAGTCAAAAAAACATTTGAAAGTGATGGACAATCAATGTAGAGATGCTGAAAGAACATGCTTCTTTATGGCCTGTGAAATTTATTGCTGCTGGATTTTATCAAGCAAATATAGTGGCAGAATTTTAAAAGGATGGGATAGTTTTCTTACCAGTAATAAGATTTATTGCAAACTGAGCCCTGGTAATAAGGGTAGAGAACTCTTACATGTAAGGCTCAGAGCATGAAACATTTAGGAAATTACTCCCTATTCTTCCCTACCTATTGCATCACTCTCTTGTGTTATGGAAGAGATCTTGTTTGGTAGGTTAGTATTTGTGCCTTAACAGCAATCCAAAAATTAGACAAATATTGATGATGATAATAACTTTCACCAAGTATCTAGGGTTTCCTGTTTTGGTTTTTTCCCCTTCTCTGATGCTTTTCCATTATTAAGAACTCATTCCCAAATGCAGATACAGTTATTCATATTTTACCTTGGAGTTTATACATTTCACTGCACCTGCAAATACAGACTCAGATTTCAGAGTTTTATTCCCTCACTGGTATAAACAGGTAATGCTGAATGGGGGAGGATAATGTCCTATCTAATTTCCTTGCAGAAGAGCATTTAATATCCACCTTGTTTATCCAGTTTCACCTACCACATCCACCACAAGCTTTATCTATATAGATATTAATGTAGCTGAAGTAGAAGAGAACAAGTCTTTCCTAACAACTGCAATAAATGCATTCTGTTCTATTAAATAAAAATGAAACTGTGTATGACCAAATCTCTGGCTTAGGCTTCTTTAAAAAAGGGACTGGCTGGCTGGTGGACATACATAAAAAGTGATGCTAGCCAGAGCTAGTTGAAAATTTGTCATTGAAACATTATTTTTGTCAGCAAAAACTGGTTCAATTTTGTAATATTATATAACTTTATATAACTGTTTTGTTGCATTATATAAGTTTCAATATAAAATTTTACAGGAAAAGTATTTTGAAATGAAAATGTGTTTTGGAAAATTTCTTAAATTTGTTTTGAAAATCTGAAAAATTTTCAAATTTTATTCTGTGGACTTATTTTTATGTTTATATTTTTACTTTGTCATGACATATTAGTAGTGGAAATGGATAATATATGGTGGTAATAATTATTTAATACTATATGACTTAAGATTAGACTTGGTAAAGAATTGTTTTATTTCTTTTTAAAAACCCTTCAAGGAAGCTTCTTCTTAGTAACGATTGAAATGTCTTTTTTTTCCTTGATCAAAATGACTTCGTTTTCAGTTGTAATTGCACAAACATATATTAGGCCCTGCTGCTTCTAACATGTTACAATGTGATATATTGTAATAACATTTCAAAAAATGCAGTTATTTCTTAAATCAGATAATGATTTTAAAGTAAAATGAATATTATATTATTGCAGTGGTTTCTCAAACTTTTAAGTCTCAAGGTATCCCTCAACAATTTTTCAGAATTTAGGGGCACCCCATTTAAAGTCTAATTTATTTCTTAGAGTGCTTACTTTCGCCCACACTGAAGCACCCTTTGAAGGATCTCACTGGGTGGCAGGGAAGGCAGCAGCAGGCAGGGCACCCCTGAGAATATGGCAGAGAGTAGTACCCAGTGCTTAGGCTGATGGCGAGGCAGATTGGCGAGCTTGCAACTATGGGTCAGTAGAACCCTGCAGGAGGCAGTTGTCTCTGCAGGAGTGGAAGAAGGTGACATTGACTACTGGTGGAGAGGCTGGTGCAAAGTGAGGGTAGCAGGGCCAGGACCATTGTTCTTTCTATGGTCTGCCCCCTTCCTGCCTCCAGTCTGTACCTGAAGGGGTGAGCATGACATGGCTGCTCCTCTGGAGACTTGCATGCTGGGCCATTTCCTGCAGCCTTTCCCATCAGCACCAGAAATCTGGGAGAAGCAGGTGAAGGAACCAAGCTGAAAAAGTACAGCCCTGCATCTCCCTGCTCACTTGCCTGCAGCAAAATGCACCACTTGGAGCAGGGATGACTGGTGCCTCCTGAGACTGGGGGTGCACAATTTGTGGGTGGACTCGGTGGTGGGCCAAAAGCCCCATATCCACTCCTATACTTCTGTGCCACAGGTTAGTGCCCTCCCCTCCATCCCCAACATGCCATCGGCCCACACAGCAAAAAAACTATCCCATCCTGAGCGGTGCCGAGTCAGGGGCCAATCTCAGGAGCCATTCCCTGTGCCCTCCCTACCAGTTACCTGTGACTTGGAGCATGGGGCAATTGGCACAGGGGCTGTGCTTTGCAGCCCAGCTCATTTCCCTGCTCCTCTCATGTGTCCAAAGCTGGTGGCTGCAGGGAGTGCTGCCAGCATGCTGGGGTTGGCATGGAGTGTCCCGTGTCTGGAGGAGCCATTGCTTACCTCCTCTCACAGGGGCTGGGGGCCACAGCACCCTTCAAAGAATCTTGCAGCACGCCAGGGTGCTGAAGCTTCCTGGTTGAGAATCACTATAATATGGAATATTATTCTATGCCAGTGGTTATAGTGCAGTGCAATAAGTACAAATCCTGCTTTGGGACAAAATATTATTAAATAAAAAAATTAACTCAAAATAATCTAACATAAAATCAAGCCTGAGTCTTTTAATTCTCACATGAAACATTTCCTAAGCTGAGGGATTTTTTTTAATTCTATTTCAGAAGAAATTTTAGGACTATTTTTTCTATTCATCATGAAAATACATTTCAAAATATCAGAATTTCCAGCAAAATGGAAGTTTATACCCCCTCTAATGCAAACCTCTGATGTTGAAATAATTCAATGTCATAGACCATGCAACTTCCAAATAAACTGTGTTTATAGCTTCACCCATAAAAAGAATGTGATGTCTGATTTCTTTTTTGTCCGTCCATCCCTACCTTACTCTCCACCCCCAGGAAATTAGATGATTTGGTTTCTAACATTAAAGACAAAAATATTGTTGGTGTTTCTGATATACAGCTCTAACAACTCTTCTTTTCCCCTGTCTCTCATGTTATGGAATTTTTAGTTCCAATACAAGGGGATTTTTTTGGCTCATTTTAAATCCTTTCTTGAGAGACGTAAACTAATCTTAAAAGAATGTGTAGTACAAGCGACTTTAAAGTGGTGCAAATTCACATGGCTGCCTATTGTAGCATTTTTAGATTGTGACTCCCATTTGGACACTTAAAAAATAAAAATGTAGGAAAAAGTCTTGTTTTCTGTACTGAGCTCATCTACATCAATATGAAGAGATGCATAGCATCTTTACACCTCTTTGTAGCAACACCATTTATAGTAACAACTTCTCCTAGCTCCTGACTAAATAAGAGCACTCCATTATACAGTTCTATCTCATAACTGAACATAACCAGAGATTCAGATACAAATGTTCAAAACAGTTTCCAAGTTTCTTAGATAGTTTTGAAATGCATCCTCATTCTTCTCCAAGGACACCCCTGCTATTCTGATCAGAGTACTGATATTTACTTTTCCTTTCATATCTTAAAAATCAAACTGCACACAAGTTTTTACACACACACACACACACACACACACACACACTGGTTTGAGTCACATACTAATGCATACACCATTTTGGGCAAAAGCATCACAACTTAAAAAAACATGCTGAAATTTTTACTGTCATCTTTAATGGAATCTTGCTGCCTTTGCACCATCTGTATTTCAAGTCTAATCCTTAGAAGTCTTTTCGTTTGATTTCTTCCCCAATATAAAATCTGTTTTCTTGATCTAACTCTACTTAGTGCTTCATTTCCTTTATATTTTGCATGCAGTCTCCTAAATACCTCCTCAAGGTAAGACAGTTACTTTATCAAGAATGGTAATTTTTCAGCAACTATTTTTAGCACTCAGAAGAATGATTTTGAATCAAAAAGCTTTGCAAATGATTGTATGAAGCAAAGTCCATGGAGTATAGCACAGGTGCTGACAACAGCATTATCTGGTTTATGTAAATGCCACCTGGACAGAACAGATGGTAAATTGTCACAGAGCAACTGAATACTAAAATGTTGTTAATGCTCCATGTAAACAGGGTGCTAGTTGATTTTCTTTAATTTCCTTGAGCTGTAATACAGCAACAGTCTGCTTGTGACTGGATTACCATAGTTATTTTCATTCACAAATTGTGGTTTATTTTGCTAAAAACAGATGCACTAACAATATAATTAAGATGTACAAGGAACAATATACTTGTTATCCCTATCTATCCTCTAAAATAGGCATATATTTGGCAATCTATGCCAGAAAGGTAGTATTTTGATTAATGATAAGACATAGAATTATTAGGCATCTAAATGGTGATATAGGAAAATGAATAGCAACTGCAACAGCAAGTAAGCAAAAACTTCTGTATTCTGATGATGTACACATGATCACTTTTTAAATATTTACTTAGCTGCCAGTGGTAATTTTTCTTTAAATTTCAAAAACAGGACAACCTTTTTACAGTTTATTTTTTGATCCTCATCAGTATTTCGTTTTATGCATAAAAAGTGTTAAAACTGTCAGATCTCCTCCCCACCAAATGTTGGGCAGAAGAACACTTTTCAAAACCATTTCATAAGGTAAATGAATCTTGGTGGTTGTTCCAAGGGCCTTGTGCCAGGTGCACAATCCCAAACTAACCCCTAACTTGGTACAGGGACTCCAGCAATCAGTGTTAATTTAGTAAATTGGAAGATTAACATGATTTTAGGGAACCTGGCAGAAAGATATAGGTGAAATCCTGATTGTTAGTGAAGAAGTATGGGAGATCCAGCTAATCAAACACAAAGAACTGATATTAAAATGAGAGAAATTTCACCTCCACTTTAAAAGGGTTGATTGAAAATCCATCAGTTGTCTGGTTGTTGCTATTATACCCTGTCTAATTTTCAACCCTGTGAGTGGTTGCATATATGTGCCTGCATCCTGTGCATGATTGAGAATAACAGAATGTTAAATTGTACCTCACATTCAGGCCTATTAGTTTCTGGAACAGAACAGTATTTTAGGATTATTTATGTAGAACCTTTCATAGCTGATCTGTCTTGAAGTTCATTACAAAGTAAGGAATAGATACTGCTAGTACAATATCTAGATAGGCAAACATGACAGCCATGATGTGCTGTTTTAGCTCACAGGCAACTTTAAAAATGAGAACAAGTTCTAATGAAAGAAGTACTGGCTAGCACATTGCACCAAAAATGCCAGGGGATTTTTGGCTTCCATATGGACCACAGCAGTTTGGGCAGAAAGGGATCTCATTTCTAATGGATGGCATACCAGCCTGCATTACGCTGTCAGGAATGTACGTATAAGCCAAATATATAATAATAAGGGGAAAATACATCAGTACACCGCTTAGAAATAAAGAACATCTTGCTGTATTTTATTTCTTCCTTTCAATATGTTGTAAATCATTAGAACTTTAGTTTTCTTTTGGGGGAGGTTGTATATGAGTACTTATTCTTTTTTGTTATTGTCATTTTTAAGCTAACCCAGGGTTTGAATTACAGGGCAGCTCGGGGTGGGAGCTGAGCCCCCCATAAGAGACAAGAGCTGGCCCCCATAAGAGATCCCCCATGGGCCAGTCAGCCCCCGGCCCACCCCACACTTTTCTAAGCATCCCAGGTGGCAGCAGCTCCTTCCGGCTGCCATCACCACAGACCCCGCTCCCCACCACAAAAGTTGAAGCATAATTTGAACCCTGAGCTAACCTGAAGTAATGGAAACACCAGACTTGCAAATTATTAGTGAATTTACTGATTGCATTACTATGTGTGTTTTCTCTCATTTCTACTCATAGCTTTAGTAATTCAGTGATTTAATACTTTTCTTTTGTGCTGGAAAGTGTTGTTCACTTGAGAGGTACCACTGGTGTCCTGTAGACATTGAACAGCAGACACATCTTTCAGATAATCACAATCTCATGCTAGGGTCCAGAGGGGCAGAAGCTGCAGCTTTTGTCTTTGCAAAATGTTATCAGTCAGATTTCAGTTTGGTAAAGCCCAGAGTAAGGGTTCCATTTTTTCTCAGCTACCAACATCCTAGTGCTTCAAAATCAAGTTTTAGCAACATCCTTTTAAACACAGGCCAGGTAATGTGAGGTCTGCAAAACCCAAATTCAACCTGGGGTGATTTTCTTTCAGATTCCACTGCATGAGAATGAAGAATGGTCAAAATGGGGTGGGTTTGAATGATGAGGGGACTGGAGTTTTCCTTGCCATAAAGCATAATAACTAGAAGTGCATTAACAAGTCAAATTCTGCAGGTGAAATGCTGAAAGCTACAGAGCATTTCCTGTGGAAGTAAGAAAAGGAAATGTAAATATTCAGTACCTCTTAGAAAACTGGCCTTATGTAAATAGAAAACTCCGATAAACAAATGAAAAAATCTTAGGCAGACATTGAAAATAACTCTCATATACTGGAAGCAAGAAAGTCTGTGGGACTTAAATAATGTCTGACATTGTCTTCCAGGTTGACACAATGGAGATGATGCGACACCCTGAAGAAACCACCAACATGAAGAGGCAAACTGTGGCTTCTTATTTTAGGGTATAAAATCTAAACTTCAAAATAAGAATTTTGCTGACTGGAACAGAATTTAAACCTAAAACATTTATGCAGTTGGTGAGAGCCAGGAGGGGAATAGGAGAGTCTTCATTGTCCAATATGAAGCCTTCTTAGCCTTACAGGTCTCTCTCACTATTTTTCTTGCCCCTTTTCTTCACTTGCCTCAGTTCTAGTGTTTCTTTGATTGGCCAAGAACATATTGGTAACAGAATTTAGGGGCTAAACAATGGGTTGAAGTCTATACTTTCATGATAGGCTACTATTTAAAATATTCACTGTCTAAAATAGTATTGGCCAAGAATTAAGGGGTTTTGGTCTCTCCCAATTATGTAGCCTGATTCCACGAAGTATTTGAAGCAGGAGTGTTACCCTAGGACTACACATGTTTACATACCTTGTGAATCAGGGCCAGATCAATACTCAAGTGTAAGTATACTCACGTGTAGGAATGCTGATATTAGCTTTCTAGAAGCAGTACTTGTGGTAGTTACAATTTCCAGAAATTGTATTACAGTGGGTGGGAGGAGAGGTGGGATTGTGACAGAATGGTCCCTGTCTCTGTCAAATGATAAACTCCATTTTGGATTAGGTGTTGAAAACATGTCTAAATTTACCTGAGGGCAGCTTACCATAAATGCATTATTGACAGAAGTGCTGTGCATGAAAAGTGTTTAACACGTGCTTGAAGGATTGTCCCTGAGACCACAAGCTGGGGTTTTCAAGTTTAATAGTCTCTCAGCAGCTGATCCTACTCCATGAGACATATTTTTAATAGACAAGGAACCACTGGGAGAGAAAGGGAGGCAGAGGGAACTGAGTAGAAGAGGTAGGGCTGATTGAGCACATTGCAGAAAGATCCTGCTTAAGAATAAGGGTCAACTCTGTGTTTGGGGGTGATCACCACTACATGTAGAAGAATTTGCTAGAAGGACTGCTTAACTTGAGTTTATGCTAGACCTTATTCTCACAAGAAGGAGTGAGATCAGATCAGCCAAGTATGCAACTCAGGAACTTGATTTATTTCAAAGATCTACAAATTTCAGGTTCTTTAAGTCATAAAGTTTACCTGGTTAAGAAATTCAGTGGCTAAGCACGTGTTCCTTGCCTGCTCACCGCAGTGTCTCAGAATGTATTAAACTAGAATCTGGTGGCCAGAGGCATAGCAAGGTCTTTCAGTGCCTGGGGTGGGGTGGAGGTATGCCAGCTACTGTAGGTGTGGG